AAAAAAGATTTCAGTTAACCATTTTGTTAATAAATAAATTATTAAGTCAATTAATAATTTTTTAATGATATGAGAAATATTTTTTAATAAACAGTTTTAATAATTTATTATTGCATAGGAGAATAGTGTTTTTTTTTTCTTTCTTTCTTTTCCTTGAGTATTGTATTAAATTAAAATTTATTACAAACGGTAGTTGTAATTTTTACTATTATATGACCAATTCATATTTTAAATAAATTTTATGGTATATTTGTAATTTGTTAAAAAATAAAAGATTTATGTTTCATAATTAACCAAGAATATCCCAATCTAAATTTCCTGATTTTTTTATTTTAAAAAAAATCCTTAGCATTTATTAACTTCTCTCAACCCCCAAGTCTTACCCTCATAATAACACTTTAATGCATTAAGAACAAACATAAAAATAATTTCTTGAAAAGTCCAACACAATGATTATTATCAAAATATTAAACTTAAATAATATAAATGATAAAAAAAAACATTAATTCTTGAAAATCTAACACATATGATTATTATCAAAATGTTAAACTTTAATATAATATAAAAAGGAAAAAAAAGATATTTAAAAAAAAAAGACATTTAAAAATACCAATTCGCATATATAATAATTATAAACAACAATCCGTGCATAGCACGGGTGATATGCTAGTATCATGGTATGTTTTGAAATGCGATTTTAAATGTCTTTTTTTTCTTTTATATTATATTAAAGTTTAATATTTTGATAATAATCATATGTGTTGGACTTTTTAAGGAATTAAAAGTCTTTTTTATTAATTATATAAAGTTTAATATTTTAATAAAATCATATGTGTTGACTTTTCAAGAATTTTTTTATGCTTTCTTAATGCATTAAAGTGTATTATGAGGATAATAATCATATGTGTTGGATTTTCAATAGAATTCATAGTGTGGGGATTCAAGAATTTTTTTTTATACTTATTCTTAATGCATAAAGTGTTATTATGAGGTAAGACTTGGGTTGGAAAATTAATAAAGCTAATTTTTTTTTTAAATCAAAAATAGAAAATTAAGATTGAGATAGTGACTCCACCAAGGTTGGGGTTAGAAACCCCATTTTCCTTAATATATTACAATTATCTATAATATCTGAGTTGCGATTTTTAAATGTCTTTTTTTTAAATGTCTTCTTTCTCATTTTATATATATTAAAGTTAATATTTTGATAATAATCATATGTGTTGAACTTTCAAGGAATAAATGTCTTTTTATTATTATATTATATTAAAGTTTAATATTTTGATAATAATCATATGTGCTGGACTTTTCAAGAATTTTTTTTTATGTTGTTCTTAATGCATTAAATTGTTATTATGAGGAATAATCATATTGTTGGACTTTAAGAATTCATATGCGTTTGATTTCTAAGAATTTTTTTCATGCTTATACTAAGCATTAAAATATTATTATTAGGTAAGACTTAGGTTGGAGGAGTTAATAAATGCTAAGGTTTTTTTTTTTAATCAAAAAATCAAAAAAAATTAGATGAAGATTGGAGCTCTCACAAGTACTTGGGTGTTAAAAACCCCTTTTGCTTAATATATAGTATAGATACTAGCCTATCACCCTGCTATGGCACGCAAAATATAGATATTTATATTTGTTTTAATTTTTTAATAATAAATTATGTTTTAAGATTTTTTATAAAAATAATTTAAACAATTTATCACAGACCATAGTTACAAGAAATTAAAGAGGCTACTACAGTAACTATTGTACGGCTGTATTTATAATATCTGTGTATGAGGGGATTTAAATGCTAATAGAATTTGACCCAAATTAATAAATGCAGCATGTGGATTGAAAATTAATAAATGCTGATTCAAGGGATTTGACTAAATCAATAAATACTGAGTTTTTTGTTTTTGAAATCCAAAATTTAAGAAAATTAAGATTAGAATAGACTCCCACAAGACTGGTTTAAAACCCCATTCCTTAATATATTAACAATTACTGTATATGTGAACTAGCATATTACCCTGAGCACGGTATGCTTTATAATATCCTATATATGCGGAATGTGATTTTTAAATATATTTTTTAAAATGTTGCTTTTTTCTTTTTTATATATATTAAAGTAATATTTTATAATAACAATATGTGTTGAACTTTTCAAGAAAATTTTTGTTATGTTTTCTTAATGCATTAAAGTGTTATTATGAGGATAATAATCTATGTGTTGAGACTTTCATGCGAAATCATGTGTTGAATTCAAAAAAAAAAAATGTATACTATTTTTAATTCCATTAAAATGTATATAGGAACTGGATTAGAAGTTAATAAATTTAGATTTTTTTTAAAATAAAAAACAAGATTATTAATGGAATGGACTCCCACCAAGCTTGGGTAAAAATCCCTTTGCTAAATAGTAATATATAGATAGATGAATGTGATTTTTAAATATATATATATATTTAAATGTCTTATTTTTCTTTTTATAAGATTAAATTTAATATTTGAAATAATCATATGCTTGGACTTCAAGAATTAAAATTCTTTTTATATATTAATTAAGTAATATTTTGAAATAATCAATGTTGGACTTTTAATAAATTTTATGCTTTTTCTTAATGCATTTAAATAAGTTATTATGAGGATAATAATCAGTGTTGACTTTTAAGGATTTCATATGTGTGGAGTCAAAGAATTGTTTATGCTTATTCTAATGCATTAAAGTGTATTATAGGAAGACTTGGATTAGGAAGGTAATAAATGCTAGATTTTTTTTAAAAATCAAAAAAATCAAGATAATTAGATTGAAGAAGTATGAGTCCACCAAAACCTTGGGTAAAATCCCCTTGCCTAATATATAATATTAGCTATCACCCGTGCTATGCACTGGATAATTATAATTTATATTTTTGAATTTTTTTAATAATAAAATTAATTTTTAAGATTTTATAAAAATAATTTAACAATCTTATCACAACCATAGTAACAGGCAGAAATTAAAAACATACTGCCCTAGAACTATGCACGCGCTTTTGTTAAATTCTTTTATTTAAATTTTTTATTGTTTATGAGGGGATTTAAATGCAATCAGGATTTGACAAAAATCAACAAATGCAGGCATTAGATGAAAAAAGTTAATAAATGCCCTATCAGGGATTTACCAAATCAATAAGCTGATTTTTTTTTAAATCAAAAATTTAGAAAAATTAAGTTGAATATTGGAGCTTCCCACAAGCTGGGTTTTAAGAAACTTCATTTTCCTTAAATATTTAACCCAATTATCTATTTATATTGAATTCCGATTTTAAATGTTTTAAATGTCTTATTTTTTCCTTTTATATAATTAAATTTAATATTGATAATAATCATATGTGGCTACCTTTCAATAAATTAAATGTCTTCTTTTTTTATTATATTATATTAAAGTTTAATATTTTGATAATAATCATATGTGCTGCACTTTTCAAGAAATTAAATGTCTTTTTTTTTTATTATGTTATATTAAAGTTTAATATTTTGATAATAATCATATGTGTTGGAATTTTCAAGAATTTTTTTTTTATATTTGTTCTTAATGCATTAAAGTGTTATTATGAGGGATAATAATGATATGTGTTGGGACTTTTCAAGGAATTCATATGTGTTGGATTTTAAAGAATTTTTTTCATGCCTGTACTTAATGCATTAAAGTATTATTATGAGAGTAAAACTTGGGGGTTGGGAAAAGTTAATAAGAGCTAAGGTTTTTTTTTTTTTTAAATCAAAAAACCAGAAAATTTAGTTTGGGAGATTGGAGCTCCCACAAAGCTTGGGGTTAAAAACCTCCTTTTGCTTAATATACTAGCACATCATCCGTGCTATGCACGGATTGTGTTTACAATTATTTGTATATGTGAATTGCGATTTTTAAATGTCTTCTTTTTTTCTTTTTTTTAAATGCCTTCTTTTTTTCCTTTTTTATATTATATTAAAGTTTAATATTTTGATAATAATCATATGTGTTGGACTTTTCAAGAAATTTTTTTTATGCTTGTTCTTAATGCATTAAAGTGTTATTATGAGGGATAACAATCATATGTGTTGGAATTTTTCAAGGAATTCATGTGTTGGATTTTAAAGAATTTTTTTTATGCTTGTCCTTATTGCATTAAAGTGTTATTATGAGGTTAAGACTTGGGGTTGGGAGAAGTTAATAAATGCTAAGTTTTTTTTTTTAAATCAAAAAATCAGAAAATTTAGATTGGAAGATTGGAGCTCCCACAAAACTTGGGGTTAAAAACCCTTTTTTGCTTAATATATAGTATAGATTGCGATTTTTAAATGTCTTTTTATTTAATTATTTAAATGTCTTCTTTTTTATATTATATTAAAGTTAATGTTTTGATAATAATCATATGTATTGGACTTTTCAATAAATTAAATGTCTTCTTTTTTTTATTATATTATATTAAAATTTAATATTTTGATAATAATCATATGTGTTAGACTTTTCAAAAAAAAAAAAATTTATACTTGTTCTTAATGCATTAAAGTGTTATTATGAGGGATAATAATCATATGTGTTGGGACTTTTCAAAGAATTCATATGTGTTGGATTTCAAAAAAAAAAAATTTATGCTTGTTCTTAATGCATTAAAGTGTTATTATGAGAGTAAGAGTTGAGAGTTGGGAGTTGGGAGTTGGAAGTTGGGAGAAGTTAATAAATGCTAAGTTTTTTTTTTTTTTTAAATCAAAATATCAGGAAATTTAGATTGAGATATTGAAAACTCCCACAAGACTTGGGTTAAAAATTTTATTTTGCTTAATATATAATATAAATAGATAGATGTGTATTTGATTGTGAAAAGGGGCTCATGTCGGGTCGATTAAAAACAGAAGCCATTACGGGAGGGGAATTAAAATCCGCCCGGTTTTCCCATTGCCCTACTCATTGGTCAGGTCGGGTCGGACTCTCTGGGTTGGGTAAGCATACCATTTCTCCATATATTTTGACATACCGGTAAACAACTAGGGTTTTCATTTCTGTCGAAATATTCTCACTCCCACACGCCTCCAACAGCTGCGATCTGCGGCGGCGGCGGCGGCGGCGGCCACGATTCTAGCGGTGGTGATCTCCGTCGGCATTGACCACAGTGGTTCTCCAGCCTGGTGAGTTTCTCTCTCATACTATCTCTCTCTTTTAATTAGCACTTGTTTTGATTTTTTGTTGCTCTGATTGACCGTGCTTGCTTGTTTGTTGTTCTTTGTTTCTTTGTTTGATTTCTTTTGGATTTGTGATCTGTTGTTTTTTTGTGAGATATCCAATCATCCATGTTTTTATTTTTATTTTTCCAAAACCGGTAGCACATTTTTTTTTCAATTATTAATAATTTATTTGATTGTCTCAAGATTATAAATTTGATTACGTTAAAATAATTTTCTTAATTAATTTACTAAATGTGTATTTGATTGTGGTGTTGAACCCCAAAAAATAAAACTGAATGTGTATTTGGCTGTGAACTTAGAAAAAAACGGGTTGGGTCAGGTCGGGGAAAACCTAAACCCGCTAGGGTATGGTGAATGGGGAAAAATTATAATCGGAAAATAGGGAAAGGGAATTAAAATCCACCCCATTGCCATTACTATTTGTGCTGTTGAAACAAAAATAAAAACTAAACAGTGCAGGTCGGTGAAAACCCAAACCCGTTAAGGGACGAGGATGGGGGGATGGGGAAAAATTATAATTGTGGATGGGTCCCCCTCCCCCGCCATTCCTAAAAATCACATTTCAAGGGTCATAAGCATTGTTGTTAAATTGTGAATTATAAATCATTTTGCTAAAATAATGAATTTTTAATCATACGATTAAGTGGTTAATTGGGATGGAAGCCTAAGCGAATGCAATTTTGACATTGGTTGGATTCCCATCCAAAGGAATCCTAAACCCTAATCTAAACCTTATTATTGATTGTATAGTAGAGTTATAGGATGGTAGAGATGATATTTGCAATGGTGATGTGGGGGGGATCGTTTGTTCTGGGAAATGTTTTGACTGCGCAGGTTGAATTAAGGCATATTGTAATTTTGATTGATGATGCTTATTTTAAGGAAAAACAAAAAAACAAGCAAATTTAAAAAAGGAAGTAAAAACTTTTATTTTAATTTTATTTCCTACCCCAAGGAAAAACAAACAAGCAAAATTAAATAGGGGGCAGGGTGGGGAAGCTCGCTTCCTGTTACAGGCAGGATGGTAACTTAAAAAAAAATCCTCATTGGGGAGTGGGGTGGGGACTAGGGAAATAAGGTACTTAAGAATCAGGAATGAGGAAAGCAAAATCTACCTACACCCTACATCCTACACCCCACACCCCATCCCATTGTTGTTAGAGGCGCGCCTAAGTGCTCACCTAAGCGAGAAGCGAGGTGAGGCGAGGCGAGACTATTGTGCTTCATAGGGTTCGAAGCGAGGCAATATGGAGAGGCGAGGTTGAGGCGAGTGAAGCAAGGCGTAGGCAATGAAGCGCAAGGCGTAGGCAATGAAGCGCAAGGCGAAACAAAGCGTCGCTTCTTGCTTCTAAGATATGGGCCCTTTATTTAGAGTTATTTGTGGACATGCATTGCACCTTAGAATTGCTTTCTACTATTTATTGAGTGTAAAACCTTAGTTTCTGGGGGTATCGAAAGGAAAGAGACGAAAAGTAGAGAAAGAGGAGAGGAGAGAAACGAACCTGGCCTTGCTTCGTCTTCTTCTACGACAACGTTTCTAATGTAAGTCTTCTTCTTCTACTTCTTTCTTCTCTCTTCCTGCTTCATCTTCTCCCTCTTCTCTTCTTTTCATCTTTCTGCTTCGTCTTTTTTTTTTTTTTTTTTTTCTCGTTCTTGTCTCATCTTCTTCTTTCCTTTATTTCATCTCTTAGCAATTTTTTTTCCCTGTTGTTTTTTAATTCGCTGTTTTTTTTTTCTTCCCTGATTCTTGTTCTGTTTCTCTTTTATTTATTTTGCTGAAATTTTTTTGAATTAATTTTACTAAATTGATTTTACAATTGTATAATTATTTTGCTGTGTACTATACTGACTAATAAATTTTATAACATTGTCTTACTAATCAATATGTCATGTACTAATAAAAATTTAAAATTTAAAATTTAAAATATAATTCACTTTAATAATAAGATAAGTGTCACATTATTGAATAAAAAGAATAATAAAAATTATTAAAGCATTGCATTGATTTTTGATTAAAGAAGGGGAAAGAATTATTTGGGATGGTTGATTGGTTTGATGTTTGATGTTTTTGATGAATATTTTAGTATTTAGAATGTTAGATTTGTTGGATATTTTGTGTTGTTTAAGGATATTTAGTATTTAGAATCATAGTTGTCAAATCGGGATTCGAATCGTGAATCGAAATGGCCATGTACCGAATCACGAATCGAATCGAATCGTGAATCGTAAAGATTCAGTTACTTTTTCTAAATTACATAAAAAAACATGTTTATACATTTAGATATTATAAATATGAAATATTTAGATTTAAAGTAATGAAAATGTTATTTTACATGATGATCACGTGGTCTAAATAGGTAAAACGCTTCTATGGCAAGAGATGTGGGTCCGAGCCCCACCGTGATCTATCATCCTATATTATATTTATGTATTTATGATATAATTTATGTAAATTCACTTCACATATATGTATGGCAATCCACATTCATTATAATAAGATTCTATGAATGTATGATCATGAATGAGGTTCACAACTTAACAAGTTCTTTAATCGATACTTTTAAAGTAACTTGTGTCAAAAAGAGACCATATGAAACAAAAGTTAGATTAGACGAAGTTAAAAATTTCAAAAAGCCTTCATTTCTTCATTTCAATCTTCATCATCTCCAAGGTCAATATCAGAGTCATCCTCTTCATCATCATCTACCATAGTTACTTCATCAAACTCTTCTTCCTCTTTTTCTTCTCCACCTTCAATCAATTCAACTTCATCATCATCTTAAAATACTTTTCTTTTTCCTCTATCGGCGGCATTTAAATTTCTTGGTCCGACATTAATAAAAATAAATAAGCTTATGAATGAGCAAGTAAAGGTGAAAATATAGAAACTAATTCTTTGAAATTAACTTATTTAAAATATAGAATTATACCTCTTTTTCTCTTTTTGCTACTTGTTGCTCCTGCATCATCTTTGAAACAATCTTGGATGTCCATCCATGAATGATCGTCGGGTAGACATGGATCCTCTTTCTCGGTAATCCATTCATCATTGGATTCCATATCCGATAAATAAATATGATCATTAGTCTCACCCCTTTCTTGTCTCTTAATTTGCCTTAACTCAAGTTGAATGTTAACCTTCACAAAAACCAAAGCATTCAATCGTTGTTGCTCCAACCGGTTTCTTTTCTTCGAGTGCACCTAATCAAAAGTGCTCCAATTTCTCTCACACCCGGTGGCGCTACAAGTAAGGCTTAGCACTCTAATAGCTAGCTTTTGAAGCTCTTTGCACTCTTCTCCATAACTTTCCCACCGTAGAGCTGTAATTAAATGGTAAAGAGATGTTAGAGAATAATGCATGCCAACATAATTGTTGAGAAATTGTGAGTATAAATATACAATTTCATAATCAAAAAATTTACTGGGTTGTTTTTTTTCCATTGTCAAGATGGCCATGCTCATACCAAACATACCCACAGCCTTCTTGAACTTTTCTAATTGCTCATCAACCTTCATTCTATCCTCTATATCCGGATACATCCTCTCAATGGTTTTAAATAAAAACCTCCGTATCCGCAGTGAAGTTTTCTTGACAATGAAACCTAGAAAGAAAGATAACTTCATAAATAAATTCCATTACACATTTTGTATATAAGTCACACAACACAAATAATGAGACAAAAAGAGTAAAAAACTTACATCGGATTAAGGTAATATGCCACCTCATGAAAAGGCCTATGGAGTTGTAAATCCCATCTAGTATCAATAATTTCCCAAATGCGCTTATATCTACCCCTCACATGGTTCAAGCTTGAAACAATTTCTTCCTTCGCTCTATCCAGAGCTTCATAAATAAATCCCATTGCCGGCTTTGCATCACCATCCACAAGCCTCAAAATTTTCACCTAAGGGAGCACACACTTCAAGCAATACTTGATTGCTTTCCAAAACCTAGCATCTCCCAAGACTGTTCTTTGTGCCTTTTTTGCATTAACAGATGTAGAATAGGTGCTTCTAGCCCACTTTTTCGTTGCAAACATAGCTCTAAGTTGGAGCTTTCTATTTTGGAAACTTTTTAAAGTAAAGAAGGCGGTGGCAAATCTAGTAACCGCAAATCTTCTCAACTCCCTATTCTTTGTAAATTTTTTGAACAAATTAAGCACCCAAGCATGCCTATAAATGTACACAGTGATTTCCTTGCCTTTAATTAATGTATCTTTGAAAACCGTCAACTCACCTATGTTACTTAACATTAAGTCAAGGCAATGTGCTGCACATGGGGACCAAAACAATTTAGTCCTCTTCTGCACATGTTGATCCTGGTCCGTCGATTTCGGAGGTTGGTGTTAGCAAAGAGGAAGTTGATCGTAGAGGATCAGTCGTTATGGACCCCGCATAATTTTCTAATGTTTTACGAAATGTAATCATCAGTGTAAAAAATAGTGATGTGACTCAAGATGTAATACTTGATGATAAGGGAAATGTAGTAAGTAAATAAAACTTTCAGTGGTTTCATGCATAAAATTAATAAAATTTTTCATTAATCATGGCAGTGGTTACATTAACATCAAACCGTTCTCTCATTTTTGGGGACATTGCATCTAACCAACTATTGTCCCCATTAAATGTTGGAAGTTTTCAGAAGGGTGCCATATATTTAGTGGTTACTACTGTCAGTGGAAAAGAATGCAAAATAACTTTAAGGAGTCAAATGTACTTTAAAACTGTTGAGAATTGTAATTTTATGTATTTTTATTTATAATGTTCAGGTTAATAGAGGTGGATGATATAAAAATTGGTGTTGTTGAAGGTGTTTCAGCAAGTGATTTTAGGTGTATTGAACTTGCTTTGCCTAATTTATTTTCTGAGTTGAGATTGAGATACAAACAAAAGAGTATTAAGGTTGATAAAATATTGATAAAATGTTCTCCCCTTTGCGCACCCAATGTCAGTGGGTTGGTCAGAGTAAATGTTTATGATCGGAGGTTAGATGGTAATGACAATCTGCACCCAATTTCATTGACAATGTCATCAAGCATCTCAAATAATTTCATAGAATTTTTAATTGCGCCGGAGGTGTCTATTGATTTAATAAACACCGTTCCACTTGGACTATTAACAAGGAAATTAGTAAGAGAGCGAGACTTTCCATCAGGCCATCCATCGGACATTATAGTGCAACTCATCTTCTTCCATTCCTTCCTATACACTTTTAAACTTGCATTCACATGATCAACCTCTTTTTTCAAAAAAGATACTCTCACTTCATGATAACTAGGTGGTTTCAATCCCATACCATACTCACCAACCGACTTCAACATCTTTTTAAATAAAGGGCTTTTCACTAAATTAAAAGCCAATGTATGCTCATAAATGACTACAAATATCTCTAATCACGGGCTCCCTATGCTTTACCATTTGATTCAAATTTTGTTGCTTGTTGCTTTGGCCTCCCCTTTGTGACATATGCATCCATAGTTCCCCCTTTACTTTTCCCCTCAACATTTTTTTCTTCAAAATAATCAACATTTATAATATTGTCTTGTTTTTTTCCACTTAACAGTTTTGAAAACATATTCATAATATCTTCAGAAACTTGACTACAAGCACCAACATAATCATGAGTTCCGGCTAAATGATTTTTCATTCGAATCCCCCCATCCCAATCCAATAATCTTTTCCATAATAATTACATCTCAAATGCATGCTATCGTCATCTTTGACACGGGTACAATGGTCCCATGCCAGATCTTGTTTCCCACTTTTTTTTTTCTTTTCCTTTTCTTATCCATCAAAGAAAGCAAAATATTTTTCTAATGTCCCAGCACAACAGCAACTTCAATACAGTCCACAGTAGACAACAATAATAAATAATGGAAAATTTTAAAGTCAATATAGCATTTTATAATACCTATGAGGTTCATTTGTCTGTTAGTTGCTCAAACAAAATTGAAGATCCAAGAAGAGGACAAACTTTAATAAAGCTTTGTGCAAGTTGAAGACTAGAAGAAGGACCACGAAGCATATTCTTGCAGCAAGGGGCCACGAAACAGTGAGAAGGACCATGAGCACTCCGTCGAACAGAGAGGAGAGTTTTTCTAGCATTTTGTCTTTTGGAAGTAAAAAGAGACAATGAGTTAACTATGTTGGACTGTCATTTGGTCTTAGAAGACTAGGCGACCCATCGTCTGCCAAGAAAAAGCAAAAAAATTGGGCACAAAAATCGAATTTTCTTCATTTGGGTCCGAGAAATCTGGGTCGACTGGCGACTGTCATGAATCGTGCAATTCAGCGATTCGTATCGTGAATCGATCGATTCGGCTGCAATTTTGTGCCATTTGCGATTCCATCTACTTGTTCGAATCGATCTCCAGGTGTATCGAATCGAATCGTACAATTCAAATTGCGAATCGTACGGTTCTAACAACAGAGTTTAGAATGATAAATGCATGATAGTTCTTGAAAATATTTATATTTTTGTCTATACTATTTATTTAAAAAAAAATCCTTTGTGTTTGCCTCGATTCGATGAAGCCCTTGCCTCGCCTCGTCGCCTCGCACTTAGGCGTTAGGAGACCTTGTCGCTTTAGTTCGCTTTTCACCTTAAAAAACACTGCCCGATCCATTGCCATCACTAGCTTATGAGGATCTTGTATAACATGGTGGCACATGGTGTTACTGAGGAAAGGGAGGTTTGACATTGTCTCACACTTAGAAATTTTTATTCTTTAGGCTATTGCTGTTTCTAAGCCTTTAAGTATTTGTCACCTAATTTTTATCACATATAGTTGACTGCCTGGAGGGGAAAGGGCAACTTATGGAATGCTCCTTACTTGATTTTAAAATATATTTATTATTGGGATTCTATTGGAAGGTGAGATGAATATAAACAGTTGAATCCCTGGATGGAATTAAGGAATCCAGTATAACAGTTGAATCCCTGGGGAAAGGGCAACTTATGAAATGCTCCTAATTTCTCTGTTATACTGGATGGAATTAAGGAATTACAACTTCAAGTTGGTTCTTTGGGTGGAGAATTGATTGAGGTAAATGGTAACTTGGAGACTTTTGCGGGGAATGTGGATTTGGTTTAAATGAGAAACTTGATGACATTGTACACAAGTGACATTGGCAGTCTTTGAAAATTTAATACGCACATTGTCTTAGATTTGCTTTTTGTGTTATTTTTGAATAATGCTTGAATTTGTTTGCCTTATGCTGGTTGTTGATGAGAATGGAGGAGAAAGTATATTGTTAATGAATGATTGACAATTTTTTATTTTATAAGTTTAATAAATGATAACAAATTTTGATGCTATGAATGAACAGTTGAAGCCCTCTACAGTTTATAACATGAGACCTATTAGTTTTATGGGGTATGCCAATGTTGTGAAAAGTGTGCCTAGGCGTAAGGGCAGCACCTTAATCCACCCAAGGCAAGGCACATTCAACAAGTTGTGCACCTTGGCCACGGCTTGGGCAGGCAATGAAAGGTGCAAGGCGCGAGCCTTATGGGGCTTTTTTTTGTTTTTGTTTTTGTTTTTTGAAGTCTTGTTTTTTGATCGAAATCTGACCCTTTGATCTAGGTTCATATGAGGGGCAACTGCATAGGATTACAACTCTGAGGTATACAACTCAATATTCCATCCGGCCCCAAATCTATCTACAACTGAAAAAATCCCTTATCTTCAATGAAGAAATCTTGCAGCAAGACTCTTCCCTTCATCGACCAGGTTGGTTCTCCTTCTCTTCTTCGCTGTCTATGTTTTTTTGTTTTTTTATTTTTGTGTGTGTGTGTGTGCTTCTTCGATGCTGTCTTCTTCTTCGCTGTCTGTGTTTTTTTTTTCTTTTTTCTCTCCTACGGTCTCTATTCTTCTTCTTCTTCTTCTTCCCCGTAGCTGCTGTCTCTGTCTTCTTCTTCTTCCCCTTCACTGCTGTCTGTCTTCTTCTTCTTCTTCTTCTTTCTTTCTTTTTTTTTCCCTTCTTCACCTCCTCCTCCTCCTTCTTCTTCTTCTTCTTCTTCTTCTTCTTCTTCACTGTCTCTGTTTTTCTTTTCTTTCTGACGTCTTTTTTTTTTTTGCTTCTCTTCGATGCTGTCTTCTTCTGTCTCTGTTTTGAAATGTTAGAACTTATATTAGTATTTGTTGGATATTTATGTTTTAGATTTATTTATTTATTTATTTGAATGTGGATTATTTTACCTTAAAAATTGGAATGCTATGCAATATGTTATGGCTTTGAGAATTATTCTATAATTTTCCCTAGTTACTTATTTAAAAAAAAAAAAAAAAAATCTGTCTTAGTATTTAAATTCTATGAATCATTAGTCTATGTTAATTTATCCATTTTTTTATTGAGACTGTGCACCTTACTTCAGTAAAGCCTGCACCTCGCCTTGCCTAAGCCCCAAGAGACCTTCGGCACCTTGGTGCGCCTTGAGCCTTTAAAAACACTAGGGTATGCTATGCTAAAACAGAAAATGGATGGGTTAAAGAAGCAACAAGAACCTCATACGTGTGATAATTTCTATCTGCCTGTCTTTACTGAATTCCTTCGCTTTCTTCTGAAAGAATAAGGGTTGACCCCCCTAAGAGTCAAAACTCTAATTCTTTGTTATGCTGGATGGAATTAAGGAAGGACAACTTCAAGTTGGTTCTTTGGGTGGAGAATTGATCAAGGTAAATGGTAACTTGGACACTTTTATAGGGAATGTATTTGGTTTAAATGAGAAAATTGATGACATTGGACCTTAATTGCATGAAGTGAGGGCGGAAGAGTGAGGGTATATAGAAGTTTTTTAGGTTGGGAGTGCCTATGGGACCGTATATTTATTTATTAAATAATAAAGATTTTCTAACACTTATTTTTTGCTGCCTAGTTGAAATGTATAATATGAACAAATATTAGAGATTCATGTCAAGTACAAATTGTTTTTATTAAATATAAATAAATATTATACAAATAAAAACTAATAGAATAAGTGAGCTGTTTTTCTTTTATTTCTATGATATGTTTGAGAGGTGTCTATCTCAATTGGGAGTGAGTTTCTCTGTCAATGGGAGCTCGTTGTTACAAGCTTCTTACTTGTGAGTGCGGAATTGTGTTTCTTAGTAAGAAATGCCACTCGAGTAAGAGGTTCCTACTACAAAGCATTGGACACAAGTGACATTGGCAGTCTTTGAAAATTTAAAATGCATGTTGTCTTAGATTTGCTTTTTGTGTTATTTATGAATAATGCTTGAACTTGTTTGCCTTATGCTGGTTGTTTGATAAGAATGGAGGAGAAAGTATATTGTTATTGAATGATTGGCAATTTTTTATTTTATAAATAATGAATGACAACAAATTTTGATGTTTATTTGATAGTTATTATTTAATAGTTTTTGAATTACATATCTCATGCTAATTAGAATTTACTAAATAACAAATCTAAAATCCTCGTTTTTTTAAGGAAATTTTGTAGAAGGGCTAATTACATTTAGTACCTCTATATCCCTTCACTTTCAATTGTGACTTATGCTTTAAGTCAAGTTGCAATGTCACCCTTCCATACATCTAACATTACGAGGCCAATAGAAATTGGCATGTGACCCACATGACACATGACATTTTTCTCGCCTCATTAGCATCCCTATGCTTTCATTAAAATCTCACTTTGGTTCTTCGTAATACTCAAGGTGGGAGGCAAATAGAATGGCTGGCCCATGTTTAGTCAACACAACCATTGCATGGTCGAAACTAGCTTGGTTCTAGATTTAGTTCACCTCCCACCTACAACCAGAAAATTTGTCATGTCATCTTGCAATATTTATTTGCAAAGTTGATAGAAAAAGTAATGATCCTAGTTGCATCCTTTTGTGTGTTGTACCTGGATGCACTATAACAATTTACGCTTTTGGCAACAAAATTTGGCGACTAAAAAGGATTTAGTCGCCAAAAGTTAACTTTTTAGCAACTAAAAAATGTATTAGTCGGTGTTGGTCTAGATTTTAGGCTACTAAAATTTAGTCGCTAAATATGTCATGTAGGCGACTTAAAAAAATATTAGTCGGCATTAGTCTAGATTTTAGGCTACTAAATTTTGTTTGTCATCGTATACTAATTTTTGCCGACAAATGGAAATTTAGTTGCCAAATAACAGCCATATTTTTACTGTTCCTCTTTGGCTACCAAAAAATTTTGTCGGCAAATATGCACTTTTGGCGACAAAAAATTTAGTTGTTATATTTAATTTTTTTGATGAAAAAAAAATTAGTCGCCAAATTACTACTTTTGGCAGCTAATATTTTAGCCGTTGTTACTTAAGCTTTGGCTACAAAAGTTTTAGTCGTTATATATTAGTATTTGTTGACAAATAACTAATTTAATCACTAAAGGTATAAAATTTTTAGAGGGAAATAAATTAATATTGGTGCCCGCCCTTCTCTGTTTAGACAAACAGTTTGTTCTCTCTCTCTCTCTCACACACACAGAGAATCAGTCACCCACTAAACCTCACCCTACCTCACCTCAGCGCAGACCACCGTCGCTCACTGTACGCCGCACATCACCACCGCCATTGCTACCGCCGCCGCAAATCACAAGTTCTCTCTCTCTCTCTCTCTCTCTCTCTCTCTCTCTCTCACACACACACACACACGCACACTCTTGCTCTAGGGTTTGATATGATTTAATCAGTTTAATTTCATGTTGATTTCTTAAATGGGTTTGGTTGAAATGGTTTAATTTCTAAAGTGTTATGGGTTTGATATCCTAAATGGGTTTGATACCTTTCCCTTTTTTCCTTTCTCTCTTGTTAGTTTCAAAGCCTAATCCATTGGTTGTGTATGTATTTGCATGTATAGTTGCTCATTGATTGTGTCTGTATTCTCATGTATTCTGATTATTTGAATTGAAATTTGATGCTATGATTGCGATAGTAAATAATTTATTTGGTCGGGTGGGTGTGATCGAGTGGTGGGGCTGGACTGCTCGATCGATGGGTTTGTGAAGTACAGTGGTGAAATTACCGGATACAAGAGTGTCATGGTTCAATGAGAGTATGAGTCTTGTTAAGTGTAGGACAGTGTGTTTGAAGAACTGTTCTCGTATGGGTTATACGGGCTCAAATATCAGAGGAGAGGGAAGTGGGTGTTTGGTTTGGTTTGGGGATTTAATTGATTTGAGGGAGTTTAATGAAAATGGGCAGTTTATATACACACATACGGCTGTTTCAGAAACATGTGTGCAAAGATTTATCCATCTAATGTTGAACTAGAAGCATTGGTGTGTGAGGATGTGGAGAGCCATGCCCCAATTTTTTTAAGGTTCTACTAGATTAGAATATCCTAAAAAATATTGAGATAATTTGTTTGCAAAACACACTAAATAGATTATTTATGAAAAAAAATAGATAAATTGCAATAGTTTGGGTGAATTGCCTATTATGTTGGAAGAGATTTACATGAGTGGTTTCATGGATGATCATATCGACGACGAGCCTAATAGTTCGGAGAGGGAAAATTTATTGAATTTCATTAAGTTGTTTGATGATATCAACGCAAGGTATATCGAGGAGGAACTGTCAAGGCAAGTGCTTGGACAGAAAAAAAAAATTACATGCGTGGATTTGGGATAGGCCCTTCGACATCTGATAGTGCAGCACGAGCTTGTGATAAACATGTGGAGGCAATGAGAGCTGAGATGGAGGTTCTTCGTGAGGAGCTCCAAAGAGATCAAAAAGAGTTGATGAGAGAGAAAGAGGAGTGCTAAAGAGATTGTGAAGATTTTATGAGGGAGAGAGAGGAGATGATGAAACAAGTCGAAGAAGGAAAAAAAAGCACGGAAGGCACAACAAGTACAACTCAATCATTTGAATAACGTGGTTTTACGGCTCACAACCCCCTTGCAGGGTTTAGATGGTCATCCTACTATTTGGTAAGAAGAATTTAATTCATATGATATTAAAAGTTCTACAAAAATAAGATGATATTGACATTATTGTTTTGAAGCACCTGAAATTGTTTTGACAAGTTCCTATTCAAACCTGTTAGAAGGTTGAATTCAAGCCAATAGGAAACTTCATTAAGCAATACTAAGGTTTGAGTTCTCACTTTCATGTTAATATACTTTTGTTGTATTCATAAAATTTATGTTCTTAACAGTAAGAAGCATCATCATCAATCAATTGATCTGACAATGCTTCATTTGCATGCCCAATTCAAAGTTTGGGGTATTGTCAAGTGAGACATGTTTTGTAGGACTCTAATTACACTGAGAATCAATTATCATCTCGGTGCTTGCAGGATTTTACCATAAGAACCATAATATTGTTGTTTATTAGAAAATGGTTTCTGTATATCATTTTCACTATATGTTGATAATGGGTTTGTTCATATTGTTTTTGTTTCCAGACTCTGCATAGGTTTGGATGCGTAATATTAGGAGGCTTAGCAGCCGAGCACCTGGTGTTTGGATACTCTGAAGGACTTCATACTGATGTGGAAAAGGTAAGAACATGTTTTCTATGAAATATTCGCTTTCCCTGAATTGATTATGATTACTAACTGGCAGTTTATCAATTATGAAACAGTTGAATAGAGTACTTAAATGGTTGGGTTTTCACATAGAGTGAAGCTGATTCTCAAGTAAAACGGGTTGCTGTAAATACTCTCTTAATATGAGTTCGTCACCAAGAAGCTCAATCCAGAGAACGCATTACGTTATGATTCTACCAAAACTATTTTCAATGTTTTGTCTAGAATTTTGTTAACAATATCAAAGAAAAATCTTTCAAAAAACCTTCGAGTCAGAGTTGAAAACTTACACCAGATTGTGTAAATTTTATGAAGCCTAAAAAGATTACTAATGCAATTCAATTTCCTTCCAACGTATTTTGAGACTAGGAACTACATACATCCATTTAAATTCATTAAAAAAAAAAAAATCCAACTTAAATCAACTAAGTTGAAAAAGAGCATTCGAGGGGCGAAAATAGAGTTTCTGATCTCCAATATCAAAGTGTTTACTTGGATGCCGTATGATATGCCAAGCATTGATCCGAACTTCATTCGCCACCAACTAAATGTTAACCCTCCACTGCTAGACCAGTTATATAGCGAACTCGGAGATCGACACTGTATCATGCCGAGATAGTAACTGAAGAAATGAGAAACCTACTAGAAGCAGGGGCAATCAGGGAGGTCCATTATTGTAGGTGAATCTCCAATATAGTGGTGGTACCCAAAAAGAATGGCAAGTGGTGCGTTTGCATTGACTACAAAACGGTCAACAAGGTGTGCCCAAAAGACAGCTTCCCTCTATCAAGGATTGATCAGCTGGTGGACCTAACTACAGGTCATAATCGACTTAGCTTTCTTGATGCTTATCATGCATATCATCAGATCGCTATGTATGAATCGGATCAGGAGATCACATCCTTCACAACTCCAAAGGGGCTGTACTGTTACAAGGTCATGCCCTTTGGCCTAAAAAATGTAGGGGTAACATTTCAGTGAATGGTCACTAAGATATTCGTGCCATTGTTAGGTAGAACAATAGAGGCTTACATTGAGGACATAGTGGTCAAAAGTAAGAATAAGTCAGACCATCTCAGAGACCTAGTTGAGATGTTTCAAATTTTGAAGACACACAAGCTACGGCTAAACACTTCCAAGTGCAAGTTTGGAGTGAGATCAGGCAAATTTTTGGCATCTTAATAACCAATCGTGGTATAGAAGCAGATCCTTTCCAAATCAAGGCCATTCAAGACCTCAAAAGGCCCAACACAATTAAAGAGCTATAGTACTTGACAGGTTTAGCTGCTGCGCTGAACTGGTTCATAAGCCGGCTGTCAGACAGATGTTGACCATTCTTCCAGACACTTAAGGCAAAATTTGAATGGGATGAAGAATGTGACCGAACTCTAGAAAGCTTAAAGGAGTACTTGTCCTCTCCGCCACTATTAGTGACCCTAGTGCCTGGAGAAGAACTTTACTTATACTTAGCGGTTTCTTAGCATGCAGCCATCGTGGTGTTAGTATGCGCAGAAGGAATATAACACTTGCCCATATTTTATGTGAGCAAGACAATGCTGGGCGCCTGAATGCGATACTTGCCCTTAGATAAGTTTGCCTTAGCTCTAATAATGGCTTCAAGGAAGTTGCCACACTACTTCTATGCACACACTGTGTCCGTACTGACTGCATTCCCTCTAAAAGCCTTATTTCAGAGAGCAGACTTCTTTGGAAGGATATTAAAGTGGGCGAAAGGGTTGGGATAATTCGATATCAAGTTCCAACCAAGAACAGCGATAAAGGCCCAAGCATTAGTAGACTTTGTGGTAGAGTTTTCTCTAAGAAGTCATTATGTTTGCCCAGTTGACTTGAATGAGGAAACCGAACAAAGCGGGGGGAGTGCCAGGGGAATAGCGTAGCCTTCTACTACCCAACAGCAAGCGGGGGAAACTGAGCAATGCGCTATTGAGCCTAGCAGTGGTTGCACCGCCCACTATCATTGCTAGAAGGGGATGAATCAAGCCATGCAACTATAGGCTTGGTTTGCGATGACGTGCCTGAAAGGGAAATGGTAGGGCAACCAAGTAAAGAAATTAATGATCAAACGACAGACAAAGACTTGGAAGAAATAGCTGAAGTGCCAGACACCAAAACATCTTCATACCCATCCACTTACTGGAAGTTATTTATAGGAGAGATGTGAAAGCTTTTCATGGATGGAGCTTCCAATAGACATGGAACTGGACTTGGGATAATCCACATATCGCTAGATAACCTAACCGTTGAACAGGCGATCAGACTTGGGTTTTTAGCGTCCAATAATAAATCAGAGTACAAAGCACTTTTAGCCGGTCTAAAATTTGCCTTCGGAATGAAGGCTATCGGGCTAATGGTGTATAGCGACTCCTAATTGGTGGTTAACCATATATCTACAAGTATGAAGCGAAGGACAACAGAATGACTAAGTATCAGGAGTTGGTCAGAACAAAGATTAAAAAATTTGAAGTCGTTAGGATAAATCTATCGAGATGAGAATAGCAAGGCGGATGAATTAGCCGGTTCTGTGTCGATGGTAGACACTTCTATCCCAGACCCTTTGCTAATCGACTTCTTGCCAAGGCCAAGTATTGAGAAACTTGAAGCGGTAGAAGTATTGTGTGCTGAGCTAGGTCCCTCTTGAATGGACCTCATTATTACATTCTTGAAGGATAGGATTTTGCCAGAGGACAAAAAGGAGGCGAACAAAATGCGAGCGAAGTCAACGATTTTGGCTTTCCCCGTCGCTAGCGTTGTACAAGAAGTCCTTTATTAGACCATACTTAAAATGTGTCCACCCCAACAAGGTTGATGTCTTCGTATTTGAAATACATGAGGGAATTTGTGAAAGTCACCAAAGAGGGAGATCTTTGGCCCACAGAGCTATCTCGCAAGGATATATTAGTGGCCATGTATACAGGTAGATGTAGAGAAGTATGTTAGGAAATGCAAAAAATGCCAAATGTTTGCGCATCAAATCCATCAACTAGCTAGAGAGCTCTTACCATGACCAACTCTTGGCCTTTTGCAATGTGGGGTTTAGACATAGTTGGACCACTCTCAACCACACCGGGTAACAGGAAGTTCTTCATTGCGGAGACAGACTACTTTACAAAATGGGTGAAGGCAGAGGCACTAGCCTCCATCAAAGAAAAAGACATTAAAAAGTTTGTTTGGCAGAACATCGTAACCTGGTTTGGAATTCCTAAGGCTTTGATATTTGACAACGGCACTCAATTCGATAGAAGAATCTTCATGGGCTTTTGTGAAGAGCACAAGATAGAGTTCTACAACTCTACGTCGGCATACCCTCAAGCCAACGGTTAGGCCGAAGCATCGAACAAGGTGATCCTGGATGGCTTGAATAAGAGATTGGAAAAGGCAAAAGGAAAGTGGATAGAAGAACTCCTCCATGTCATATGGGCCTACCGAATTACACGAAGGCGGTCAATCAGGAAAACACGATTCTCCTTGGCTTACGATATGGAAGTAGTCATCCCCTTGGAAGTCGGCCTTCCCACTATTAGGATCGAGAATTATAGCCCAGACTTGAATGGAAAGGCAATAACCTTGTAGCTAGATCTTGCCGAAGAATGGAGAGAGAAGACGCTGATCCACATCGTCTCATATTTGCAAGAGTTGTCTAGGAAGTATAACAAGACAGTGCATCCAAGGCTATTCAAAATTGGAGATTGGGTGCTGCACAAAGTCATGAGAATAGTTTGGTGCCTGATGATGGCAAATTAGGACCCAACTAGGAGGGACCATACAAGGTGGTGAGGTTAGTAGAAAAGGGAGCTTACCACTTGGAAGATGTTGATGGCCAAGCTATTCCAAGACCATAGAATACAACCAATCTCAAGTTATTTTATTTTTAGCTGCAGCACTTGTAATTTTTCTATCTTTTTGCTTGATATTAATAAAATAAGTAGACAACTTTTTTTGAAGTTTTTCGATACTTGTTTTTATTCGGTCTAGATCTCGAAAATCTTTGCACAGCTAGTGAACTTGGCAAAGTAGATTGGCAGGTTTGACTAACGCATTTGGAAGTCTTTGACTGAGATGGTTATCTCAGCCAAAGTAGGTTAGCAGATTTGACCAACACATTTGGAAGTCTTTGACTGAGATGGTTATCTCGACCAAAGAAGGTTGACAGGTTTGACCAACACTTTTAGAAATCTTTGATCAAGATGGTTATCTCAGCTAAAGAAGGTTGTCAGATTCGACCAAAGCTTTTGGAAATCTTTGACCTAGATGGTTGTGTCGACCAAAGTAGGTTAGTAGGTTTGACTAGCTTTTTTGGAGACTTAGACTGAGTTTGTAGCTCGGCAAAACCATGTATACAAACTTGAATGAAATATCAAAAAACACTTGGCGTGTGAAAAGTTTTTTCATTGATGTCCAAAGCGATTACAAGAGGGGGGGCTAGTAGCCCGGTTACATTGCAAAACAAAATGAAAAAAAAAAAAATACAAACAAGAACAAAAGCAAAAGCAAAAGGAAGTTGTATCACGGTCACAGAAAGAGGCCATCTAGTTTGGCTTCGGCACCAACGCCGACTTCACTTTCAGCCAGCATGGTTCCAGCACCATCTTTAATGGTTAGATTGGTGATGCCTTCTTTGATGGTAATGCTTAACTGGGTCTGGTCGGGCACCTCTGGCCGAGCTGGCAGAGTCGGTTGGTGAATGGGATCAGCAGTTGCCAATGAAAGAGCAGTGTTCGGTGCCGGGCTATCTTCCTCTTCCACTTTAAGGAACTTCTGTTGCACGGCGTTGGCATAAACTACCATGTAACTTGGGATAAAGTGGAGAGGAGGATTGAGGAAGACCTTAGAGTCAGAAGCCTGGCTGAGCTTCTCTGCAGCCGCTTTCCAGCTACACTTGAAGAAGATATCCTTGGCGGCCTTGCATTGTTAGACGTAGGCTTGCTCGCCTTTGGCGTAGCCCCGGTCCTTGGCGTCCTCCATCTTCTTCTTGAAAGCCTTTATTTCGGCGACTTTGGCTTTCTTGAGCTTTGATAGCTCATGCAGATACCGGTTCTTCTTCTCGACCAGGGCTTTCTGTTTGTCCTCTCCAGCTGTTTGAACCTGCTTAACCAGCTGATCCCAGTCGGTGCTGATCTCGGCCAGCTTCGCCTTCAACTCCTTTAGCTCGGCCTCATTGTCCGCAATCGCCACCCTGGCAGCCTTCCTCAAGTCTAGCACACGTTGATGTGCCACTTGATTCTTTTGCATGGCTTGCAAAACACACTGGATGTTAGCATAACCAAACAAACAGATGCAAAGAAAGTAGATGAAGACTTGTCACTTACTAGCACCAACGATTTGGTAGCCGACCAGATGACCTTCAGCTCGGTTAATTGCTCGTGCCTTTCCATGTCGGCAGAAAGGTAGAGGCTTTTAGCTAGGTTGAAGGCCAGTTAATGATCCTTCTCGGTACAGACTGAGTCTGATGTGGTCACAACACGACCCTTGTAAGTTAAGGCCGGTGCCCACACCGGGAGAGTAGAAGGGCTAGCTCGGTCAGTTCGGCTTCCCCTCGTGATGCCTCCGTATCAAACAGCTCGGCACCCAGCTGCTCGATTTCTTCTTCATACACAAGACGTCGTTGCTCAGCGAACGCAGTTCAGGCCCTCTTGCTGGGCTGAAATGAAGAAACCCTAGTCGTGGGCAAGGCAACAACTATTTCAATCGTTTATTCGACCTAACGTGGTTCGGTTTGGGCATCGGTAGGTGCTGTGGAAGTTTGTTTGGTGATGAGGGCTCGGACTGCTCTTCTCTTGGCCATCTTTTGCTCTTCGGTTAGGGGGATGGGGTTGATTTGATGCAGAGAGGGATTAGGCTCTGGAGAAGGCTCAAGGAGAAAGTCTGTAAACTTTGCTTTTTCGCTTGCCGCTATATCGGTAAGTCTGCTCAAAATTCAGCAGCTCGGTCTAGTCCTGCTATTAGTATCTCAGCCCAGCGCAAAGAGCGTCTTGGTTGGCATATGCATAGTTCTTTTTTAAACGGTTAAAATCTACAAAAATAACAACGGTTAGCACGATAGTCATCAAAACAGCTAAAGAAAATAGAACCAAGCTACTCATACCGACTGTTCTTTTATTCCGGTTGATGTCGTAGCCCGACACTAGAGCATTTTGGTCTTCATAATTGCCCGACACTAGAGCATTTTGGTCTTCATAATTGCTAGAGACACAAAGAAAATCATCATCGTGTAAGTCATTGTCTGGTGTTCTCTTGACGATTTTCTCTTGGCCTCTCTTTACTTTCAGGTAATAGCACCAACCGTCGTCACACTAGCCGAGAGAATATTGGTGGAATATCTTGGCCAGTCCTAAGTTGAACCGAGATGACGGTTAAGCTCGGCTATACCGTTTATGATCCTATAGGTGTTGGTGGAGAGCTGTGTTAAACAAAATCCTGTTTGCCTCAAGAATTCGTAGATAAAGGGTTGGACCGGGAAACGGAGTCCACCCTCTGCTATTGATAGCACGGTGAAGGGATATAATCTAGTTTTGCCCCAGGGTATGGTGTCTTGCTTGACCAGTGTAAAGTGCACATCATCTGGAATATTGTACTCAGCGAAATTTGGCTATTGCGCCAGGCGAGCTAACAAGGAAACGATATTTACCCATGTGAGTTGGTCTTAAGGTGATAAATTAAAGAAGTTGCTCGGCTTCCTAGTGCGGCGTTGATTTGGTTGCTCAGTCGAGCAGCGCCTCTAAGGAGCAAAGTGAAAGGTGTGCCTGGCCAACCTAGCAAAGTCTGCAAGGTTGAAAATAAATGGTGTTATGCTCAAGTGTTGACCGAGCTAAAACGATAGTGTAAACTAATTATAGAATGGTTTGCTCGGTCAGAAAAGTGTGTGCATATTATTCTTAGCTTGGTCATTAAGTTGGAGGTTATAATCCGACCTCACACATGAGCAAGATAGTAGCCCGGTCTGAGACTAGAGCAAGGTTTTAGCTCGGCCATGAAAACGGGCAAGGTTTTAGTCTGGTTTCAGCTAGGGGCAAGGTTTTATCCCAGTTCGGATTGCGAATAGGGTTCTTTGTTTGGTGGGTTTCCCTAGAGGTTTTACAAATAGGTTGCTAGCTCAATTTCGGCGTGATTTTGGATCAAAACCACTGTTTTTGGCTGGTTTTTCTCAAGTTTGGTGTTCGTCCCAAAAGACGAAGTTTTATAGGGCATTTGAAGTCCAAATTCACTTCTGGGCATAATTTTGAGCAGATTTTAGTGAATGCGAATGCGTTAGTGCTGTCCGTGGCATGGATAAATGAACAAAAACACAAAAAAGGCCTAAAACGTGAAGAATGGTATGGGATTTAAGGAAAATACTAGAAAGGTGTGGAAAACTTACGAATTCAGGCATGAAAATGAGTTCCAACTTGAATGAGAAGCTCTAGTCATAGCAACAGATCAATTGTAGCGAGAAATATGCTTTAATTTGGAGATGGTGTGACAGAATCCAAAGAGTTACATCTCTGGTTTTAAGGTTTGAAATGAAGAAGATGAATAGTGGAATGCTAAAGGTTATGCATATGTTATATATGCAATGGAGGCAAAAAGGCGCAATGATTCGAATTTTGGGAGAAAGTGTGCGACGATTGTGACAGAGATACAAGCACAATAGGGGCAAGCCACGTGTCCCAGAAAGGACATCGTGCCAAAGTAGTTGATGGACGTGCTGTACGATTGACAAGACTTCTTGGAACCGAGCAGGCTGAGCGACTGAGCAACTTTTATGGCTCGGCAGGATTGAGTATTTTAGCTTGGCTGAGGAGAGTAATCCCAATCATGCGCGACACATGGAATTGAGGGGCAATTAAGAGGGTAATTTGTGTAATCAAATTGGGTCGAGCTAATTGGAAAGAGGCTTGAAGGTTTGGGCTGCGTTGTGGGCTGAGCTACGTCTTGGAGATGGTTTGGTACTGGGCAGAGCAATGGTTAGGCCGGTCAAAGGTGCTTGACCGCGCCACCAGATGTCTATATCCTTGGATGTAGCCACCTTCAAATGACGATTAATGCTTTGACCGAGCTACGAGAAAAGGCAGTCAAACGGATCAAGATGGAAGTAGCACAGGCCATTGAACTGAGTAGCGACAGCATGGGGGCGTGTCATTCAAACAATGCATGGCGCTGGATGTAACCCGGTTAAATCAAGAATGGATGTATCAAAGGTAGTCCGGTTGTACGACGACAGCCGAACTAAGAGTTTAGCCATCTCACTTGGCTTGCAGTGAGGAGGGTGTTAAAGGATAAACATTATCCTTTAGGAATGTGATTTTTAGGAGGACTTTGCTAAGGAGAGTCTGAGTCCTACTGGGATTGAGCCAAGCAGAACCTACAAAAGCTCATGTCAAACCCCTATTATCAGGTATTGCAATTCATACTCTCAAATTCACAGAACTTTTGTATCCTTAGTCTACTTTTTGACTTAGGCATCAGAGGGGTTTCCGGCAAACACTTGTCAGCTAGTTCACGTTTGTGTTTTTAAGTGATATGACGATGTTTGGAAGAGAGTAAGCCTGATTAACAGGATTATATGAGTGAAGATTATTTTGTGCCCATACAATATCCAAGAACAATTTGATGCAATCTTGATGCCATGGAAGAGCATTTTGTTCCAATCTAGTGTGATTCTAAGCACATCTTGACGTCCAACTACTCTATGAATTATATATACCCAATTTTATCATAATCAAATTCAACTTGATCCTAAGCGCATTTTTTTTATCATATATATTTATATATATAATACATATCATTTAATTTTTTTAACATTGTAAAATTAAAATCTAAAATATTACACTTCATATTCATTTTCATTAATTTATTTTCATCTTACATCTTTTAACTTTATTAATTATAAATTATTATTCATAATATATTATATATTATATATATATATTGTTTATTAATATTAATATTTTTTTAAGGTATAAAATAAAGGATAAATTACCTGTAAGTCTTAATAGTTAGATTTAATTCTCATTAAGTCGTATCAATTCATCTTTTAAAGTTGGTCATAACATAATCATTCGCTAAAAACTAATGACTTTTTGTGACTTTTTTAAAAATCTGTTGCTAAAAATTAATAATTGGCGACGTTTTTTTTGAACATGTTGCTAAAAATTGACATTTCGCTATGCTTTTCTGAATTTGTCACTAAGAATTGACAACTAGCGATGTTTTTTTGAATCTGTTGCTAAAAACTGTTAACGATTTTTTAAACTATCGTATAAAAACTAACAATTAGTGACTTCTTTGTATTTAAGAAAATGTCATTAATTATGACAGGATCTATTGGAACATTCACGTAAGTCTCCTAAAATTAACCCATCTCTTGCCTCGTCCTGCCCCCAATATGATATAAGGTGTGGGACTATAAACCCATCCCAAACTCGACCCATGGCCGTCCTGACTCTTGAATTAGTCAATCCATTGAGTTGAATACCGAGTTACTAAAAAAAAGACATAGTTAAATGTTATATTTTAGTTGAACCCAACAACTTTCGTAATGATAGATTTGATAGCCAAATAACTAGCTCACAACTCCTTACTTGGTTAGATATATATTTATATGTTCGTATGGTAAAAATTAAGACGAAAATTCAAGAAAGTAAAGCTTTTGAAATTCAAAAAAATGCGACAAAGATATCAAAGAGGTAGAAAGATTAATAAACAGAAAATTGTATTACCATGAAAAACAGAGTTTCGTGATTTTAATTTATGCAAAAGCCTAGTTCATCTTTTTAATTGTTTACAACTTGTGTTTTGTTTTAACTTAATACAATCATATTTTTTATGTAAATTTTGGGATAAAGTGAGTATTGGTGGAAAATGTAGATTTTCCTTCTTACCCTCATGTCGTAGTCACATTCTTATTACATGACTAGATTCTGTTAAAGATTTTAACAATCGAGTAACAGAAAGAGGACATTGACACTTATATAGAGACTAAAGTGAGATTTGACTAAAAGTACAGGGGGTTAATTGCCACAATTTCATGTGTAGAGACCAAAATGGGATTTGACCAAAACTGCAAGGGATTGACTGTCATAACTTCATGTGTAGGGGCTAAAGTGAGATTTGGTGCAAAATGTAAAGGTGCAAAGTATAATTTACCCTTTTATTTCTTCTTCTTCTTCTTCTTTGCTGCTTCTTCGACTTGCTCTTTTTTTATTTTTATTTATTTTTTATTTTTTTTCTGCTCATTCTTGCTGGGCTGGTTGGCTGGCTAACTCTTCTTCTTTTTGTTTATTTACAGTGTAGTGTGTTGTGTTGTGTTGTGTTGTGTTTTTTTTTTTTTCATGCTTGTCCTTTTTTTTTTTTGTGTGGCAATTATGTCTCTGTTTTGAGTCTGTCTTTATTAGGGAAAAAAAAGTTACAAATAATTAATTCATCACGCCTTACATTACACTGAAATTATTTTTCATTTATTAAATTTGTTTTTGTAGAAAATGACATCTAAAAGTAATAGAAAAAATTTGGTGTGGGAACATGCACATTTGGTAGAACCCATTAACTTAAACAAGTTTGAATGTAATTTTTGTGGCAAAGTATCAAATGAAGGTGTTTATCGGATGAAACAACACCTTGTGGGAGGTTATAGGAATGTCATTGCTTGCCCGAAGTGTCTACCTCATGTAAAAGAAATTAAAGAGTATATGTCAAAAAAGAAGACGCAAAAAGAAGAAATAAACATGTTGCTTGATTTCGATGACATGGACATGGAATACGAAAATGAAGATGGTGTTGTTGAGATAAATGTCAATCAACGCCGTAAGTTGACCAATAGCATCCAAGATCCATCCAAATTCAAATAAAAAATGCCGAAGAGAAAAAGGCCTATGAATGTTTACTTCACACCCAATTCTGAATCAGTGGTAAAAAATTGAAGAGACCAAGCAAAAAGGAAGCAAACACAAATTGATGAGAATGATCCTTACAAAAAAGAAATGAGAACTCGAGCAATGCAAAGATTTGCAAGGTGGATGTATGATGCCAGTATCCCTTTTAATGTTGTAAATTATGAGAGTTTTGGACCGATGATTGAAGCCACTGGGCAATATGGTCCTAGTATGAAGCCACCAACTTATCATGAAGTGCAGGTTACCCAACTCAAAAAAGTGGTGAAACATATTGAAGATTTGATGAAGAATCATAAAGAGGACTGTGCAAAATATGGGCGTTCCGTAATGGCTGATGGCTGGACTGATAAGAGATAGAGGACATTGATTAACTTTTTAGTGAATTGTTTAAGAGGAACCATGTTTGTTGAATTAGTTGATGCTTCTAGCTATTCAAAGGATAAGAATAAGCTATTTGAATTACTAGACAAGTTTGTGGAGAGAGTTGGAAAAGAGAATGCGGTGCAAGTTATCACAGATAGTGCTGCAGCTAATGTGTTGGCGGAGAAGAATCTTTCCTCCTTCCTTGCTTCAAAATTGTTTGCTCATAATTTGTAGTTAAAATTTCAAAACTTTTTCAAATAATTCTATCCCATTATAGGGCTATTTTTGGAAGCCAAGTATGAACACTTGTATAGGACATCATGTGCTGCTTATTGCTTGGACTTGATGTTATAAGACATTTTCAAGATACCCCGATTGAAAAAGACATTTGAAAAAAGTATTGCAATACATGACTACATTTACAACCGTCCTACTTTGCTAAACATGATGACGCGCTATAAAAATCTCAAGAATTTGATCAAGTCTGCAAAAACTAGATTTGTAACTGCCTTTCTGACTTTGTCTAGCATGCATTAACAAAAAAATAATTTAAGAAAGATGGTCACCTGCGGAGATTGGACCGCATGCAAATGGGCAAGGGAGCCACAGGGGAAAAGAATGGCACAAAATTTATTTATGCCTTCATTTTGGAATAATGTTGTGTTTTCCCTAAAGGTCTTGGGTCCTCTCGTCAAAGTGCTTAGATTGGTTGATACTGAGAAGAAACCTCCAATGGGATACATTTATTATGAGGCAACAGATAGGGCAAAAGAATGCATTGCAAGTTTGTTTGACCATAAGAAGAGAAATATAAGGAAATCTTCGAAATCATTGACAAAAAGTGAGATGTCCACTTACATCGGCCTTTACATGTAGCTGTGTACTTTCTTAACCCAGAATTCTTTTATTCAAAAGCGTTACAGGTGCAAAAAGATCATGAAGTGATGAATGGATTTTTTGAATGCATGCAAAGGTTAGTCACAGATGTCACCGTTCAAGATTTGATCACTAATGAGATGGGTATTTATATGAAGGTTGAGAGCCTTTTTGGCAAGCCTGTTGCGATTGGCTAAAGAAATGCAAGGGTATCAAGTAATATATTATAGACTCAAAGAGTTTATTTTTAGTCAAACTCAATACTTGGTAACAATTATTTCTAACTAGTGATTATTATAATTGTTATAGTTTTAAAGCCCCAAACTTGTAAACTTTTGCCATAAAAGTCCTTAACCTAACATGTAGTTCATTGGATTGTGAACAAAATTAGATTCTAACTAATTTTTGGTGAACTCAAATATTTTTTTATTCTCATTATTATATAGAATTTAATATATTGCTACTACTTGTAGCTTCATAGCAAGAAAAGAAATAGATTGGAACAAAATCTCAATGATTTGGTGTTTGTCAAATATCATAGAACATTGAGATCTAGATATGACATGCGCAATATTCTTAATCCCATATCTTTGCAAAATATTGATGAAAGCAATGAGTAGTTGCTTGGGAGGGTGGATAGAGAATCAGATGAAGATAATGAGCCTGTGCTTGATGATAATGATGGCTTGACGTGGGCCACTATTGTTAGAGCTTCTAGAGTAGAAGAAAGTAGTCATGCAACTAGAGCAACAAGTTCACGCTCAAAGGCACAACCAATGATATCTAAATCATCAAGATTAACTCCACTTCAATTAATAGATGAGGAGTTGGCAGGCCCAAATGACACAGAGGAGGAAGAAGTTGTTGGGAGATATAAATAAACTGATGGAGAAGAAAATGATGGTTTGCTTGCCAATGATGTTGAGGATGACGATTGACTGACCTAACTTTCTAGTGTTCATGCTTCCCCCCCCCCTCCCTTTTTGAATGTGGATTATTTTATCTTTGAAAATTAGAATGCTATGTAATATGTACATTCATGGCTATGAGAATTATTCTGTAATTTGCCTTTGCTTGCCAATGATGTTGAGGATGACGATTGACTGACCTAACTTTCTAGTGTTCATGCTTCCCCCCCCTCCCTTTTTGAATGTGGATTATTTTATCTTTGAAAATTAGAATGCTATGTAATATGTACATTCATGGCTATGAGAATTATTCTATAATTTGCCTTAGTTACATTCTTTTTTTTTTTTTTTTTAATTTTTAAATTGTCTTAGTACTATGAATTATTAATTTATGTTAATTTATCTATTTTTTACTAGGACTATGTGCCTTGCTTCAATAAAGCCTACACATCACCTTGTGCCTAGGCCCCAAGAGACTTCGACACCTTGATGCGCCTTAAGCCTTTAAAAACACTGCTCAATACTAGCAAGAGATAAACTTCGCAACCCAGAGAACTAGATAACAGTGCTTCTAGAGAACCAGGGAGAGACAATCCACATAACCAGCCAAGATGAACCAGAGACGCACCAAAGAGCTTCGCGAGTTAATGGTTGCAAGTGGAATCGAGATGGGTCGCGAACTCAGATGATGATGAACCAGATGAGTTGACTTCAAATCGACTTTGAATCAGACAAAAGAACCAAATGCAGAAAGGAACAAAGAACTTCTTTGAATTAGAGAGCAA